TTGTGGTCAGAGAACACACTTGATATAATTTCAAGCTTGATATAATTTCAGTCTTCCTAAATTACTTGAGACCTGTTTTGTGGCCTAACATGGTCTACCTTGGAAAATGTTTCATGTGCACTTGAAAAGAATGGATATTCTGCTGCTTTGGGGTGAAATGCTCTAAAAATTTCAATTAAATCTATCTGGTCTAGGGTGTCATTTAAGGCAGCTGTTTCCATGTTGATTTTCTGTCTGGAAGATCTGTCCATTGGTGTCAGTGGAGTGTTAAAGTCCCCTACTGTGATTGTGTTACTGTTGATCTCTGTCTTCATGTTGGTCAATATTTGCTTTATAGATTTAGGTTCTCCTATATTGGGTACATAAATATTTCCTAGGGTGATGTCCTCTTGTTGGATTGATTCCTTTATTATTATGTAATGTCCTTCTTTGTCTCTCATTAAAGTCTTTGTTTTAAAGTCTATTTCGTCTGAGATAAGTATTGCTACTCCAGTTTGTCGTTTCCATTTGCATGAAATATCTTTTTATCATTTTACTTTCAGTCTATGTGTATCTTTTGATCTGAGGTGGGTCTCTTTTAGAGGGCATATGCATGTGTCTTGTTTTCTTATCCATTCTGGCTACCCTATGTCTTTTGATTGGAGCAATTAATCCATTTACATTTAAAGTGATTATTGATAAGTACGTAGTTATTGCCATTTTATTATTCATATTTTTTTTCCTTTCTTTGTTTTCTCCTTCTGCTTAAAGAAGCCCTTTTTAACATTTCATGTAATTCTGCCTTGTTGGTAATGAATTCCTTTAGCTTTTTCTTGTCTGGGAAGCTCTTTATCTGTCCTTCAATTATAAATGATAGCCTTGCTGGATAGAGTAGTCTTGGTTGTAGCTCCTTGCTTGTCATCACTTTGAATATTTCCTGCTAATCCCTTCTGGCCTGCAAAGTTTCTGTTGAGAAATTAGCTGACAATCTTATGGGAGCCCCCTTACATGTCACTAGTTGTCTTTCTCTTGCTACTTTTAGGATTCTCTTTTTGTCTTTAACCTTTGCCATTTTAATTATAATGTGTCTTGGTGTGGGCCTGTTTGGGTTCATCTTGTTTGGGACTCTTTACTTCCTGGGCTTGTATGTCTTATTTCCTCCACCAGATTCGGGAAGTTTTCATTCATTATTTCTTCAGGCTCTCTATCCCTTGATCCCTTTCTTCTCCTTCTGGTACTCCTATGATGCGAATATTGTTACCCTTGATATTGTCCTAAAGGTCTCTTAAACTTCCCTTAAACTATCTTCATGGTTTTTTGTTTGTTTGTTTTTGTTTTTTTCGTTGTTCTGATTGGGTGTTTTCTGCTACTTTGTCGTCTAAATTGCTGATTCATTCCTCTGCCTCATCATCTAACCTATTGATTTCTTCTATTGTATTCTTTATTTCAATTATTGTATTTTTTATTTCTGACTGGTTATTTTTTATGGTGTCTATGTCCTTTATGCTTGCAATCTCTTTATTGAAATTTTCACTAAGTTCCTTAAGCATTCTTTTTTAAATTTTTTATGTTTTGGGGAATTGGAGGAGGGGAACAGTGTTGGGGAATTGGGGAAGGGGAATATCCAAGTTGTTATCCTTCAGTCTTAGTTGTGGAAGGCACAGCTAGCTCAGCTCCAAGTCCAGTTGCCTTCCAGCCGCCCGTTGGCAGCTTGTGGCTGCACAGCTCAAGGTGCTGTGTTCAATCTTAGTTGCGGGTGGGAGTAGCCTCCATCCCATGCGGGAGTCGAACTGGCAGCCTTGTTGTTAAAAACGTGCACTCTAACCCCTGAGCCATCCAGGCGGCAGCTCCTCAGCTCAAGGTGCCGAGTTCAGTCTTTTAGTTGCAGGCGGGCGTAGCCCACCATCCCATGCAGGAGTTGAACTGGCAACTTTGTTGTTAGGAGCACATGCTCTCACCAGCTGAGCAGCTCAGCGGCAGCTCAACTCGGGTGCAGCTCACTGGCCCATGTGGGAATTGAACTGGTGACCCTGTTGCTCAGAGCTTGCACTCTTAAGCAAGTTCTAACTGGGCCACTTGGCCGATCCCTTAAGTGTTCTTATAACCAGTGTTTTAAACTCTGTCTCTGGTTGATTGGGTGCCTCCATTTCATTTAGTTCTATTTCTGGAAGTTTCACCTGTTCTTTTATTTGGGACATGTTTCTTTGTTTCCTCATTTGATTGCCTCTCTGGGTTTCTTTCTATATATTACGTAGATCTCCTGTGTCTCTCAGTCTTTGCTGAGTGGCGTTATGTAGTATCTGTCCCATGTGGTCCAGTGGTGCAGTCTCCCTGGTCTCCTGTGCATGTTTCAGGAGTCCCTTGAGGGTGTTGTGTGTATTTTCCTGTTGTAGTTGAGCCTTGATTGCTTTTGGTGCATCAGTGGGTGGGATTGATTCCCAGGCTGACTGGCCATGAAGATTGGTTACACTCACAGTGAGTGTATGAGCTGTTATGTGGGGGTGACTCCTCAGAGGGAGATTTGCCCCCATGGTCTCTTGTGGGGCTAACCAGGTAGTGCTCTGGTGTGGTCTGAAGTCGGCCTCTGGGTGTGTTGTTTCTGGTGTCTCTTGGGAGGGGCTCCCATGCTGGCCAATTTCAGCCTTGCCTGTGACTGGCCTGGGGCTACTTGGTAAGAGCTACAAAGCTGTTTGTGGTTGGTTGCTGCCTGGCTGGGCCTGGAGACATCTGGGGGCGGCCTCACTGGGAACTGAGGCCAGCTGCCACCAGTAGTGGGCCTGAGGGAGCTTAGCAAAAGACCCAGAGCTCCCTAGGCGTGTTGTTACCTGCTGGCTGCCTGTAAGGCTCAGCTGTTGAAAGAGGCTCCTTAGGTGCGTGGTGTAGGCTAGTGGACCTGGTGTTGAGAATGCCTCCGGCGATGTAGTACTAGCTTGGCTGGGTGGGTTCCCAGGGAATTATGAGGTGTGGCTGGTGGTTTTTACCAGGTTAATGCAGATTCAGTTCTTGCACCAGTTCCTGGCCTGTGATCCCTTCCCAAAACTCCTTGAGAACACTGCAGCTAGCCACCATTCGCCTCAGGACCGCAGATTCCTGAGAGCCATCCAAGAGAGGTTGCAGTGCTGGTTGTGACTCACTGCCCACCCCCAAAAGTTTCACTGGCTGCCGTGGGCTGTCCGCTGCTATAAAAGGCTTCTGTGGCTTGTAGAGCAGGGCCAGCCACCCTGGAGCCTAGAGTGCCCCTGGCGATGTACTAGCTATGTGGGGCAGGAACCCAGGGCATCACCAAGATGGTGCACACATGTGGATTTTACCAAATCAATGTGATCGCAGATTTGGCCCTTTGGGAGAGGGTTCAACATAGAAAAGATGGCGCCATCCTGCAGGCTCCATGTGAAGCAGGCTCTACATAGAGACAGTGGCTTTTGTCCTTCCAGCCCTCGCCTCTAAGCTACACGACTCAGTCTTTCCCGGTATGTCTCTGGTGCCCCTTGAGTTGCTGTCCCTCCCTGGAGCCCAGATGAGTGTTTGCAAGTGAGTGAATCTGTGTGCAGGCCCTTGAATAGGGCATCTGAGTTTTTAGCCACCTTCCATCTCACTGGGACGGACATAGAGAGTCCTCGCTGATTTTCACTGCTAAATGTTGTGGGAACTCCTCTTCCTGGCACAGGATACCTGGGCTGGGGAGCTCATTGTGAGGCTAGGACCCCTTCTTCTTCAGGGGGGACCTCTACTGCCACCAAGGTGTGCCTCCTGGTGTTCAACCCATATCTGTGGGTTTGGGGTTAACCCGTTTTGCGTCTCTGCCCCTCCTACCAGTCTCGATTGGCCTCTTTATATCCTTAGTTATAGGGGTTCTGTTCGGCTAGTCTTCAGATGACTCGAGGTTGATTGTTCTATAATTTATTTGTAATTTTGGTGTGATCCTGAGAGGCAGTAGACATAGCATTTACCTAATCTTTCCTCTTGGATCTTCTCTTCAATATTATGGTTTAAAACAAAGGTTTTTATCATTTCCATTTGATTCTTTTATAGTTTCTATCTCTGTGGATCGTCCCTATTTGTTCATGAACTTTCTCCAGCTTTATACTACATCCTTTAACATTAATCCTATTTGTTTTAAAAGCCTTGTAATAATTCAAGCCCTCGGCCTTTTTTGGTTCTCTTCTGTTGCTTGCTTTAGCTCTTGACAACAGGTCTTATTTATTTTTTCTTGATCTTGTTATGTGTCTTATAAATATTTATTAAGTGCTGGATAGTATATTTCAAAGAATAATGGAGACTGATATTAATGGTATTTATCCCCATAAATGTGCACAACTATTTTTGTCAGGCTGTTAGTGTGGGGTTTTGCATCTATCTGGTCAGTAGCTGAGCTGGGTTTTGTGTTTTGTTATTGCTAGTTAATTTAAACAAATTAGACTTCATATTTTTCCAGTGGCTCCTGACACCTTGTGCTTAATTTGGGGTTTGGAGTCCTGGAGGGTTTTTGCAGTGTTCTTGGTCCAATCTCAGCTTTCAGCAAGCCCTGCACACCTATGCCTCAGGGCATCTCTGTTGGTGGGCCTCCTTACCTCTCAGCAGTAGATTTCTGTTGCTTTATGCCTTAGTCAAGGCTTTGGTTGGTGGGGAGGGGGTATCTGGTTCAACTGTTGCAGCCTCAGTATTATGTAGGCCCTTTACACCAGAGTACAAGGTGGGAATTATTAATGTTCCTGCACTTTCTTCCCATCCCTGTAGCCTTGTATCAGTGTAAGATCCTGGGCCCCAGCTGGCTTTAGCCTTCCCCCAGCAGCAGATGGCTTTGTATCTCTCCCTCTCTCAGTGGTAGCTGGGCTTTTTCTTGGGCAAGTGGTGTAGACGTTTAAAAATTTCCCTTAGTCTCTTTCTGTATATTATATTTCATTGTTTTCTTTTTAGAAGATTAGTTCCTGATGAGCAGAGGCTGAATCTTTGATGTTTAGAGAAGGATGCCTACTCTTCGGTTATTAATCTCATATGCCAATGTGTTTGTTCTTTTGCAGCTTAGGCTTGATTTCCGACTCTTTTCACATGTTTTTCGATAGCACTGCCATTTTGGCTGGACTGGCAGCGTCTGTTATTTCAAAATGGAGAGATAATGATGCTTTCTCTTATGGGTAAGACTTTTTAAAACCTTTTTATTGAAGTATAAGAAATACAGAAAAATACACCAATCTCAAGCTTAATGAATTTTCATAAATTAAGCACACGTGTGGAACTTGAGCCCTTGAAACCCCATCATTCCTCCTTCTAGTTCCTTCCCACTCACCTCCCAAAGGGTAGCCACTTTCCTAATTCCAAGGATTAGTTTTACCTATTTGTTAACACTGTATAATTGGAATCTATATTTACTTCTTGTTTTTTGCATCTTAAGTTGTTTTGCTTAGAGGTAGGGCATCTTGATTTTACCAAAAATTTTTAGGTGAGATTGTCTTTAGATAGGGGGATTCTCAACCTTTAATCTATTTTTTTCTTGAAGAAGAAGAAAAAGAAAAAGTTTCAGTATATGTAAATGGTCATGTTTCTTTTTTGGAGGGATCTTTTGCTGTTAATTTATTTAAAATCATTATTTCCTAATATGATTTTATATTACATATACTCTTCAGTTTTGCTTTAATGACTTTGGACAATTAATCAAATATTTGGAGAGTGTTTTCATGCTGAAGAGACTATGTTGGAATACCTTAGCCTCACCTCTGAGCCTAGTGCCCTTAGAGGCAGTTTGCTTTTTGCACCTCGGATTGAGGGAGGCAATGGAGTTTCCAATATTTGACTTACTCTGCCTGAGTGTTTGGGTTTCTTGGTTTTTTTTTAGCTCATAGAATATTTTGCAGTGTTACTAGCGGTCAAAACTAATATCCACCTCCCACCACTTACTCGTTGTCTTCTCC